AAAAAAAAAAAAAAAAAAAAAGAGCACAGATTCTGGAGTCAAGGCCTGGGGTTCAAATCCTAGCTCTGCTTCCTACCAGCTGTGTGTCCTTAGGTAAATCACTTAACTCCTCTGAACCACAGTTCCATTGTGTGTAAAATGGGCGTGACAGTAGTGCCTTTATCCTGGGATGGTTGTGAGAATTAAATGAGTTAATATGTGTGAGGTAGCTGAGCGTGGTAGTGGTGCACCTGTAGTCTTAGCTATTTGGAAGGCTGAGGCAGGGGGATCACTTGAGCCCAGGAGGTCAAGGCTACAGTGTGTCATGATTGCACCACTGTACTCCAGCCTGGGTGACAGAGCGAGACCCCGTCTCTAAATAAATAAATGAATGTGGGAAGTGCTTAAAATGATCTTGGGCGCATGATAGAAAATACTTTTGTGATGATATTTATTGCCATGACTATCATTATTACCAGGCTCAATCTAAAAGGCTGGTCTAGGCTTCCCAGCTTTTCTGATTCCAAAACCAGTGCTAAGGCCCTGGAAAGGGTCCCTGGGAGGCCCCCAGCACATCCTCCACACCAGAGGCTGGGTCAGGGCAGCCTAACCTAGGTTCTCAGCCCGGCTGCCCTTGCCTTCTGACCCCTGCCTCTCTGCCTGGGACTGCCTGTTCCCCGTGACCTCTAAGTTCCTTTTTCTCGTGGAAACTCCCTCATCCCAGACACTTCCCTCTGAGAGCCCTAAAACACATCTTTTCAAAGAAGCCCATGGGTTTTCCTGGAGAAAACCCACAATCCAAGGCCTGGGTCCCCAGGCTCACCCGCAGAAACCCTGGTCACCCTGGTCACCCTGGGCTGTGGCCGCCTGAACGTTTAGCAGCAGATCCTGCCCTCCGCTGCCCACTGCAGGGCTGTGTTCCGGTCCCTGCAGCCTCTTCCCAGGCTGTGTAGGATGGAGCCAGGGAAAACTTGGCCAAGAAAAGGGCTGTCTGACCACCGTGGCCGTAGAATTCGTGTGAAGAACCAGTGGTGAATTGGCCCGTGAACTCTGGAGCTGGACCGCCAGGGTTTGAATCCACCTCTGCCTCTAACCCCTGGGTGGACTTGGGCAAGAGAATTGATGCCTCCAAGCCTCAGTTTCCTCATCTGTAAAGTGGAGACAGTAGTGACTGATCTCATTCATAGGAAGCTCTTCATACCAGGGCGAGATCACTCCGCACAGTCTCTGGCTCTGGTTAGCCTTGGGTTTGGGGATTTCCAGGGGAGCCTGGGGTTCCAGCTTTCTCAGCCAGATCCCTCACTGCACTTCTTCGATGTCAATGAATCAGCCAGCACTGATGGACGACATTTGCCATAACGGGCACCGTGACGCACTGTGCTGTTCCCAGGCACCCCCTCAGTGCTTGCTCTGGGAATGAGCAGATGAGGCTCTGCCCACACCTGCGGCCTCTCTCTGAATCACCGCAAATCCCCACAAGCTGCTATTATTCACTTCTCTTACTGAGGAGGAAATGGAGGCTCAGAGAGGGCAGGGGCTTGCCCAAGGTCACACAGCTGGTGAGCGGCAGGGTCAGGCTCTGATCCAGGTGTGCACAGTGCTGGGGCAGCCTCCTGTTAGACCGTGATGAGGAAGCCTCCCAGGACACCATCCCTGGGGGAAGAGTGGCGCTTGGCTCCCTGGACAGCAGAGACAGGCCTCCCCCATCCTCCGGTGTGTACTCAGGCCCGTTGCATGGTGGGATAAGAGCTGTGGTTAGAACACCAGCCTTCGCTGAGGGCAGCCTTAGGGCAGCCTTAGGGCTGAGCTCTGCCCAGGCCTCACGGGGACAGAAACCAGGCAAGAGGGGAAGGTCATAGCTGTTCCTTCCTCCTTCCTCCCAGCTCCTACAAGTCTCCTGGCAGGAATCCAGGGCCAACTGGTAAGCTCTTACCCTGGCCCATCGATGGTGGCCCCAGGGCAAAAGTCATATCACTTCTCCCCCTCTCCCAGACTCAACTTCAATCAAAGTTAGAAGTAAAACAAAAGTCCTACAGATTACATTATTACATCATCTTGTTTCTCTTCATTTTTAAGATACTTTTTCTGTGAATCTGTTACTTTTACAAGACACATAAAAAGCACATTTTTAAAATGAGAGAGTAAAAGCACCCATAATTCCGTCTGCCAGGAGCACCCAGCGGGCCGTGTAGGTGAGATCCACGCTAGGGTTTTACTCCCTCCCCTGTGCTCCTCGCCTCTCCGAGCTGAGCTCAGCTTGCAGATTAGTCAATGTCCTGTCTCTGTTTAACATGTCATTGCAACATCAGCCCCTTTCCCAGCAAACAGGGCCTTGGCAGGAATGCAGGGCCCTCCCTCCTGACAAGTCTGAGGACCCTGGCCTGTGCTGCGACCTGCTTATAGGGCCACATGCATCCGTGTTCTCGTACATTGGGAATGATGATGAGTCCCCAGTGGCATCACTAATACACATAGAGATGGAACCAAGGCCCAGAGAGGTGAAGGACTGGTCCCAGGTCACACAGCTGGAAGCAGCTGGGTCTCCCGACCTCTGTCCCCTTCTCTGCCTGTTCTGCTGTTTGAGTCTTTAAGACCCTATCTTGGGGAGAGTCAATCATTCAATCACTCCTTCCCTCCCTCCCTCTTTCCTCTCCTCTCTCCTTCCTCCACTCCTTCATCCCGTTTGACAAAATAGTCAATGACAGGCCTGTGCTGGGCTCCAGGATCTAACTTAAGACAGATCCCTCACCGTCCTTGGAGGGCTAATTAAAGAATCCCTCACATGCCAGTACACTGGAAAGGATGACGCATCTCCAGCCGTGCTATGAATGCAAATGATCAGGCAACCTGAACCTGGCAGGCAGCCTTCCAGGCAGAGGGAATGGCAAACACCAATGCCCTGAAGCTGGCGGAGGCACAGCATGCTGGAGGCCAGTGTGGTGGAGCACAGTGTGCGAGGAGGGTGTCAGGGGCCAGACCCTGCAGGGCCGAGGGCCGTGGCTAGGGCTCTGGCCTTGACCTCAAGGGCCATGGGGAGCCATGAACAATTGATCAGAGGAGTGTTGACATCAGATTTGTATTTTATTTTATTTTGAGATGGAGTCTCGCTCTGTCGCCCAGGCTGGAGTGCAGTAGTGCAGTCTCGGCTCACCGCAACCTCCGCCTCCCAGGTTCAAGCAATTCTCCTGCCTCAGCCTCCTCCTGAGTAGCTGGGGTTATAGGCATGCACCACCACGCCCAGCTAATTTTTGTATTTTTAGTAGAGATGGGGTTTCACCATGTTGGCCAGGCTGGTCTCGAACTCCTGACCCCAGGCCCGCCTCCGCCTCCCAAAGTGCTGGGATTATAGGCGTGAGCCACCACGCCCGGCCCAGGTTTGTATTTTAGAGTCTCCTGGCAACTGTGATGTGAGGGGCATAGAATGGACATGGGGCGACCAGAGAGGTGGGTGCCATTGTCCAGACAAGAAGGGCTGGCTCATGTTCTCACCACTCGGACAGCAGGTACAGTGTTCCCTGGAATGCAGAGGGGCAGGTGGAGGCCCAGAGTAGGGTGGATGTCTGCAGGGCCAGCCCGTCCCCTCAGCCCGCTTTCCACTCCTCTCCAACAGTGCTGAGGTGCCTGGGCATCCCCACCCGCGTCGTGACCAACTACAACTCAGCCCATGACCAGAACAGCAACCTTCTCATCGAGTACTTCCGCAATGAGTTTGGGGAGATCCAGGGTGACAAGAGCGAGATGATCTGGTGAGGTGGGGGCCAGGGTGGGATCGGAGCCCAGGAGGGAGGGCCCCGTGGAGAGGAAACCTGGGAGGGCTTCTTGGAGGAGGTCACATTTGAATTGGACTTTAGAAGTCGAGCAGTATTTGAGCAGGCTTGGGGAAGGACAGCAGGAGCCAAGGCCTACAGGGAAAGGCAACCACATACACGATGGGGCCTCAGGGAGAATCATGCAGCAAATGTTGTCGGGAGTCTGGAATGCCACATTAGGGAGGCCAGGCTTGATTCCGAAAGCAACAGTTGTCACTCAAGGCTTCAGAGTGGCAGAGGGTGGGGCTGACAGCTACCAGGAGGGCTAGAGGGGAAGAGATGGGCAGGGGGCTGGGCCATGGCCCAGGTGGGGAGTGATAAGCCCTGAATGGACAGAAGAGAAGGGACAGAGTCAAGAAATTAGGAGGTCAAAAGGGCAACTGAGAGGGGCAAGGAGGGGAGAGGCGTTGAGAAGGGCTCTGAGGTGTAGGAGTGGGCGTCTGGCTAGAGAGGGTGCTGTGAGATGGGCCCCTGTGGGAGGAAGTACAGGGCAGTGGGGAAACGTGCTGGGCTCAGTTTGGGATGAGGTGAGTGTGCATCTGGGGACATGAATGGGTGGTCTGCCCGTGGGAGGTGGCGATAAATGTTGCTCAGGTTCTGCTTCATTCCCACCTCCCCCCATCCCCCCAGGAACTTCCACTGCTGGGTGGAGTCATGGATGACCAGGCCGGACCTGCAGCCGGGGTACGAGGGCTGGCAGGCCCTGGACCCAACGCCCCAGGAGAAGAGCGAAGGTGCGTGGGCGGGCACTGTCGCGTCAAACAGATGGGGAAGCTGAGGCTTGGAGAGTTAAAGTGACTCAGCTGGAGGGCGGCAGAGCTAGGAGCTCACCCGGAGACCACTGATGGGTCCACACAAGGTTGGGGGACCTCACTTACATCTTAATAACACACTTCTTGATAATCTCAAAAGTAATTCACATGCATCGCGGAAAGCAGGAAATACAGAGAAGCACGAAGAAAAAAATCAAATAGCATCTTTGTCCCCTCCCACTAAAATAAGCAGCATTAACATTCACACAAGCTTCCCCTGATTTCAAATTGTATATTTGTATGCGGGTGTATACGTGTGTGTTTATATACATACATATATAAACACACACACATATATATAGTACCTGTGTGTCTGAAAGAGAGCGTACACTAAGGCAAAATTTTGTGATGCATATGGACACTTTCTAGCAATATTTTTAAATGCATAAAATATAATACATAGCGTTACAAAGAAAACCAATTACATTAAAATACAGTTATCACAAGTTTTAAAAACCAAATTTATGATATAATAATATATGCTTCTTTATAGAACAAGATCTAGCAGTAGAGTCAGTGAGTTCCATAATATAGTTGTAGAGATAATTTATGAGCATAAATTAATTTCCTGCCATCTGTGACAGCTGTACGGTTGCAATGACCACACCTGTGGTTCTTATGAGTGACAAGTCCTAAGTGCTCCTCAGGCTGTTACGGTTGTTTCCTGCTTTTGCCATTGAAGGAAGTCCTATAGTGAAAACAAAGATACCCTTTTTTCCCCATCATAGAGTTCATAGACCCCTGAATTCTGTGGGTAGTGCCTTGGTGGATCCGTGGGCTCTAGTTGAAGACCTCCAGCGGCTTAAACTTGGAGCATTTTTCCCCAGCTCTGTCCACTTCTGAATAAAGCATTAGCATTTCTCCAGCAGATAGTTTTCTGTGATTTGAATTTTTATTTAATGTGACCATCGCCCATCACATGGCCGTGCTAGACTGTATCTATCCAGCCTCTAGTCCTCAGCACTGGAAGTCTGCAGACAGTGTGGGGTGGTTATCAACCACACTGACATAAACATCAGGCACCCGTATTCACTTGGAGAACACACACGCCCTGGGACCGGCCCCATGTGGGGCACTGAGCTCCACTCTTAGTACAAGGAAACGAGACAGATGTCCTCCTTGCTAACGTGTTGCCTGCCCTTGGCTCCGTAATTTCCTTAGGATGTCTGGGATACATTTCCATTTTATTTATCAAATACTTGCATAGCATTTAGTATAGGCTATGAGTTTTACATCTATAATTCATAAATGCTCGTTAGGTGGGCCCAGATCTTACCTCCACATGAAACTGCCGCCTCGAGAAGTTAGTGACTGGCCCAAAGTCACCCAGCTAATAAGAGGCTGAGCTGGGATTTGAACCTTAAAAGCCGTGCTCCAGAGCCCCTGTTCTGAACCCTCGCCCTGTGGTGCCCTCCTAGAAGTGGAGTCCTTCCGTCAGAGGGCTGCGTGGTCCTGAGGCTTTGGCTACATGTGGTTGAATTGTAGAGGGTTTTAGAGGATACCTCCCAAACTTTACCCAGGCCCATCCCTTCCCCTTTCTACCCCTGCCAGGGACGTACTGCTGTGGCCCAGTTCCAGTTCGTGCCATCAAGGAGGGCGACCTGAGCACCAAGTACGATGCGCCCTTTGTCTTTGCGGAGGTCAATGCCGACGTGGTAGACTGGATCCAGCAAGACGACGGGTCCGTGAGCAAATCCATCAACCATTCCCTGACCGTTGGGCTGAAGATTAGCACTAAGAGTGTGGGCCGAGACGAGCGGGAGGATATCACCCACACCTACAAATACCCAGAGGGTATGTGCCCTCAGAGTCTTTAACATGGCCTTGAAGATAAGCATCTGGTTTTCCCAGCCCAGCAGGCTCGTGTGTGTGTTTTAATTGGTAGCCTACGTATAGCAATGGCCCCGTAGGCTATACTCCATCTTAAGCAATTCCTTAGAAACAGGAGCAAACATGTTGAGCGACAGTGGTAGAGGATTATTCATTTCGGAAAAGAGTTCTATATTCCACAAAAGGGCTCAATTCAGTTATTAAGACAC